TATAGATTTGATTAGAATATGATAATTAAATTCTAATCTATTTTTTAGAATAAAAAATAAATAAATCTATAATTAAAATATTTATTGATTTAATATTAAATAAATCCATATCATATGCAAATTTCTATTGAATCAATTTTTTTTTAAGTATTTTTAGGTTTTCTGCCTCTCTTAGTTTACTTAATTTCCTTTTCTTCAATCTAAATGACATCTTTTGTCTGCTTTATCAATTTTCTTTTCTCTAGTTTTTTTCTATACATCAATTAATATTGATGTCTCTAGTAAAGCTTTTCTGTTTCAAACACTTTATCACAATGATCACAATTTACTTAAACTTTTGATTTAAGCTATTTTTTAGCAATTCTTTTTCCGAACTTCTTCTATTTTATTCTTTTTTATAATTTTTTCCTCTAATCTTTTTTTGAATCTTATTTATCTAACGATAAGTTTTCTATCTATTTTTAAATTTGTCTATCTAAAAGCTTTTTATCTTTTTATATAATTTCCTATTCTTAAACTTCAGGAGTAATCTTACTTGTTATTATGTATCATCATTTTCAATTTAAACATTAGGTCTGGGTGATTATGAAAGAACATCTATCTATTTTGATATATCAGCACATTTTTCATAAATAGAAGCCATGGTTTGATAGTGGTGAGTCAAAGGAATGAATTTCATGAATAAAATATAAAATTTTAGGCTTACAAATTTTTGCTAAAAATTAATTTATCCTTTTTATTTTTTGAAAAGGATTTCAAATTTTTTCTTATTCTAATTTTGTTTATTTTTATTACTAAAATAATTACTATAATTTAAAAAAGTATTTTAAAAAATATTTACATTCATTAATCATTCAGTATTCATAGTTTTACCAACTTTTAGAATAAAGGAGATTAGAGTTTAAATTATAGGAATTTCAACATTATCGATAACATTATCCTCAAATACTTAATAAATGCTTAAATTTTCTCTCAGTTTTTATTGATCTAAACAGCTTATTGTTACTAAAGAAAAAAAGCATACATCTACATTTTTATTATTTAACCATCTTATTATGAAATGCTGAAATACAAAGAGAATAATTACATATAAGTTAATTATCTATATACATTTAATGCTGGACCCATTAAGTCTTAGATTTAATCTAGAATATGGAAGTGGGCAAGATTTTATGTAAGAACTCGATCAATCACGAATAGCTGTAGCACTAAAAATAAACTTGCTTAATGTATAAAATAGAAATAATAAAAAAGTAATCTAAAAAAACAAGTAATAGTAAATTTAATTTTTATTGTATGTTGAAAATATTAATATATAAATCAAAAGAGTAAATTTTAGAAGAAATATTCTTATACATACGCGACCATTTAAATGTTTATTTTTTTAAATGGTTTCTTTTTTATACCATATTGCAAATCCTGTTAAATTTTAATTCTTATTGATACTTATTTGAATTTCCAATAAAGACATTCCAATTTCTCCACCAATCTTGCATCATCAAATCACCGTAATTTTCTTTTATTTTTTATTCTTTAAATCCCTTCTCTAAAAGTGATGTTCCTATTGCCTCTATTATTTTCATTAACAAATCTCTATTTTATCCATGAAATATAATGTTCTACAGTGCTTTGTATTCATATTTGAATTTATTATATTTTTTAATCTTAAATTATTAAATATGCTGAATATGAATCCAAATCTGATTAATACAAAAAATTTGATCAACATACGATGTGAATAAAAATTCTATTATAAATGTTCTTATTATTATAAATAATTTACCTTTTATTTCTTTCTTTTATAATTTTCCCAATTTTAATCTATTTAATAATCAATTTATTCTATCATCAAAAATCGAACTCATAATATAAATTATTTTTAATTTTAAAAATTGTTCAAAAATTTCATCACAAAAATGTTAATAAAAAATTAAATGTATCATTGAAATGCTTGAATTTTCAATAGAGGGAGAATTTTACTTCCTTAATGTGCAAAATTGATCATTAAGTCATTAAACAATACATATTTTTGTGAAGTAATTATG